CTATGTGTGGAAGGGGCCTCTGCGCGGGGCGGGGCCTCTGCTCGTAGGGTGATGTCATGCTGGGCTAAGGCTTTGTCATTGAAGCCTTTGTTTTTTTGTGTATTTTTAAATTTAATCTATTTTACTAGCTAATGCCCTTTGGGAGAATTTAGATCTTTAATATATATATATATTAGAATTTATTTCAGAGAGGACGGGAGAGAAAGAGAAACATCAATGATGAGAGAGAATCACTGATGGGCTACCCCCTGCACGCCCCCTACTGGGGATCAAGCCTGCAGCCAGGGCACGTGCCCTGATGGGAAATTGAACCCAGGACCCTTCAGTTCGCAGGCCGAGGCTCTAGCCATTGAGCCGAATCAGCTAGGGCCATTTAGATTTTAAAAATCTTTTCTTATTGATTTCAGAGAGGAAAGGAGAAGGAGAAAGAGAGAAACATCAGTGATGAGGGAGAAACATCATGGATTGGCTGCCTCCTGCACGCCCCCTACTGGGGATCGAGCCCACATCCCGGCCCATGTCCTGTCCAGGAGTCGAACCGTGTCCTCCTGGTTCATAGGTCAACGCTATGAGCCCGACCGGTCGGGCCATTTTTGTTTTTAAGTTTGCTCAGGACATGTTTAGATCTGAGACAGAGCAGTAGCACCTGGAGGCCGGCTTCAGCAAGCACACTATTTGAGAGCAGGGCCACCCACGGGGTCCCGCGTGGAAACGTCAATCTGAGAATTTATATTAAAAAAAAATTCTCGAAACCAAAGAATGAGAAACAAAGGTATTTCCCCCCTGACCGGCTCTGCCTTCCCTGTGGGCCGCAGCTGGTGGCAGTGCTGAGAGAAGTCAAGTACCTGAACTTCCAGCAACAGAAGGAGATCCCGCGCAGCGCCGAGACCCTGTTCTCGCAGTACGAGACCTTCCGGAAGTTTGTGGGCAACTTGGAGCTCATCGTCGGCTGGTACAACGAGGTGAGCCCGTGGGCGCAGGCGGCGGCCACGCCCTGCTGCCCGGAACCCGGTTTCCCACGGACGCGCATGCGGTGTCCACCCTCGTGGACTGCCCGCTTGGTCCCTCTGCCCTTGCCCACCGTTTCTCCGCGTGGATCACCTGAAAACCCTCGGCGGCATTGGTGGGTGGAGGTGGGAGGCCTGGGGGCTGTGGGCAGTGCCAATGCAGGTGGAGTGGCTCTGAAAGGCACCTTGTCAGTGCCCGATGCGCCCGGTGCGCCCTTTTAATGCTGCGCACGCCCCTTTCTGCAGACACGGGCGCCCTCAGAAAGTGACATAGGACACAGGTGGCTGTGAGCTGGGGCTCAGGGGTGCCGGTTCTTAGGGAATAATTTAGAGACATCTGCTGGTGCCCTCCTTCCTTTCTCGTCTGTGGGTGGAGATTTTCAAGCATTAAATTAGCTTCTGAGAGCAGAGCAGTGCTGCAGCCGGACCGGACAGAACCGATGCTGTTAGCGCCGATGCCCCGAGTGACCCAACGCCGATCTCCGCCTGGGGACCGAGGAGAGGCCCCGAGCCAGCGGGGCCCAGTTACCACCCCCTCCAACCCGCCCTCCCCCGTGCCATCTGCTGAGGCTCTTTGACTGGTTCTGGGCCCGGGGAACTTGGGGGTTACGCACTGGTCTTCACGACCATCTTTCCTTCTCTTTCTACCCAATAACATGGGCAATGAAAGAGTTAAGTATATACATGAACCCTTGGGGATACAAACACTTCCGAACGGGAACAGTCCTCGCTGGGGGGCACGGTGGCGTCCGGTGTGTTTGGTGGAACAAAGGCCCAGGCCGGCTTGTGTGTTGGGCAGATAAAGACCACGGTGATGGAAGTGGAGTTCCCCCTCATCAAGGCAGAGCTGGAAGGGATCGACGTCAAACTGCTGACTGCCGAGACCACGCTGTTCTGGAACGGCGAAGGTACCCGCCCCCCGCGCCCCCAGGGGCCTGGCCGCCTAGGCGAGGTGGGCGGGGTGGGCCACTTCTGCCTGCTGGCTGCTGGGTCTGCTTTTTAAAATATATATATTTTTATTGATTTCAGAGAGGAAGGGAGAGGTGCTGGAGAGGAACATCATGATGAGAGAGAATCACTGATCGGCTGCCTCCTGCACGCCCCCTACTGGGGATGGACCCCGCAACCGGGCATGTGCCCTTGAAGGAGAATGGAACCAGGACCTCCTGGTTCATAGGTCAACAGTCAAACACTTGAGCCACGCCAGCCAGGGCTGGTGGGTCAGCTTCGACTGCAACAGGGTCATGTGTTTGGCCCAAGGGTGGTGCCCCCGGCCGCCCAGCCCCCAAACAGCCTGAGGAATCTGCAGAGGCTCCCTGGGGACCACCAAGGACCTCCGTTTCCAGCTGGACTTGCTAGAGGCGGGCACAGCAGAGGGCAGGGTGAGGGCCATGGCAGCCGGCTCAGGGCAGGTGTCGCAGAAGTAGAAAGAAATGTGCTCACCGGGCAGAAGTGCCTGCCCCAGCACCCCTTGTGCCCTGGCCCCACGCTGGTGGGCACCCCCTCCATCAAGACCTCCAGCCTCGCCTCCTGCCCTCTCTTCCGGCCTCCGCGGTCTCTAGGAGAAGGCAGGACGGTCCACTCGTCTGAACCAGGGTCCGCGGGCTCTTCTGGGCCAGGCAGTCATACGATTCTTTTCTCGCCTTTCTCCCGGAGCGCATCTCTTTCTGGGCGCTCACCTCCCGCACGCTGTGGCGGTCAGGGCTGGGCACAGGCGGACCGTGGGTACCCCGGCACCGTCCTGGCGTGGCCCCTCAGGGACCTCGGTGACTCCGTGCTCCAGGGGAGCGGAGGAAGTTTCCAGGCGCGTCCCCTAACGCCAGGCGCCAGGCCGGCCCAGGAGTCTCCTCCCGCTCACCGGCTCGTCCTCCGGTCCCAGGCGTCCTCACGTACATCCAGGAGATGCGAGAGGTTCTGCACAACCTGCAGACCAGGATGCAGAAAGCCAAGCAAAACATAGAGGGCATCGCCCAGGCCATGAAGGTGAGGCCCACGATGGTGCAGAGACGGTGGGACCCGCGGGGGCGGGGGTGGGGGCGGCCTCCCGGAGGAGGGGGGACGCTGCGGCCGTCCTCCAGTCCCTCCTCTGAGGCCCGACTGGCTTTGAGATCCGGCGCCCAGGGCACGGGCCTGCCTCCCCAGCGGCCACGTCCCCTCTGAGGCCAGCAGGGCCAGGGCAGCTCTGCGAGCCGGCAGACAGGAGCGAGGCCGGAAACGCGGCCTCCACACGCCCCCCTCATGCCCGGCGCCCTCTCAGGACTGGTCGGCCAACCCACTGTTCGAAAGGAAGGACAACAAGAAGGAGGCCCTGCTGGACCTGGACGGGCGGCTGACCAACCTGAACAAGCGCTACACGGCGGTCAAGGAGGCGGGGATCAAGATCCAGGCCATGGTGGCGGTGAGGCCCAGGGACGCGAGGGCTGGGGTTCCCATAGCAACGGTGCCGCAGCCGGTCCGGAGCGGAGCCTCCGCTCCGCAATCCCAGAGCCCTGTCGTGAAGTAGCAGACCCCCCAACGCGGCCTTCGAGGCCGGTTCTCTTGTCTGTGTCCCCCTCCTGTGCTCCAAGAGTGAGACCACTGCCCGTCCCTGCCTGGAGCGGGTGTGGACAAGGGCCATCCTCCCACGCGGTCCCCGAAGCTCGTCTCCCGGGGTTGGCGCTGGAGGCACGCGTGGCGTGAGGCTCTGGTGACCTCCCGAGGAGGCGGCCCAGCCTGGGGGCGAGGCTCACTGGATGTGTGTGCCCGGCCGGCCGGTGCCAACACACTTAGTGGGGACCGCAGTGCGGGGGCACCTGTTGGCTGGCATGCGCACAGTCTGGGAGCCCATGGCCCTGCCGGCCTGGCGCCTGGCATCTGGGGTCTCGGCCTGGGTCCCCGGCCGCGCCGGGTCCTCGCAGGGGCCTCCCTCGGCGGCCGGGGAAGCCAGCTTGTGTTTTAGTCGGTTTTGACGTGAACACACAGGACGCGAGAAGCACCGTGTGTCGGGAGCGTGGGCGCAGGCAGGGTGCCCCGAGTCCTTGTGGACACTGACCGGGGAGGGTGCTGACGGCCGCGAGGCGGCCGCCAACCGCGGGGTCTGCCGGCAGGAAAACGCGGAGCTGTTCCGAGCGGTCACGACCAGCCACTCCTGGAAGGACTACGTCATCTACATCGACGGCATGGTCTTGGACGCGTTTGACAACTTCATCCGCATGTCGCTCAGCTACCTCATCAACAACATGGTTCTGGACGTGAGTCGTGCGTGCGAGGCGCATGACGTGTGTCTGTGTCTGTGTGTGTGCCCGTGTGCGTGCTGTGACCCCCCACGCACTGCGCCATGGCCACCAGCACTTGGCGGCCAGCCGGCCCCGTCGGCGACTTCCTGTGGCCGTGTGCACGTCGTCCTCGATGTAACCCAAAGAGACGGGGGCCGTGGTCTCTGCCCTGAAAAGTGCTTTTGCTCATTGTATTAGTATTGGTTTTTTCGGTTTATCCTCATCTGAGGATATTTTTCCATTGATATTTAGAGAGAGTGGAAGGGAGGGGGAGACAGAGAGAGAGAAACATCGATGTGAGAGACACATCGACGAGGGTTGCCTCCCGCACGTGCCTCCGACCAGGGCCAGGGATCGAGCCAGCAACCAAGGTCCGTGCCCTTGCCTGGAATCGAACCCGGGTCTGACGCTCTGTCCCCTGAGCCACGGCAGCCAGGTCATTGTATCCCTCTGGGGAACTGAGGCCGCACAGCTAGCGAGCAGCAGGCATAGGCTGTGAGCTGGCGTGGGCGGCCCCGTCCCACCGGGGCTGCTCCGCTGCTTCTGGCCCCGGGCCAGCGGGACACGTGTTCTCTGGGCGGTCCGGGCCGCGGGAGTCGAACCCTCCCAACTCCCTCCGGGCGGGCCCCAAGGACGAGGAGAGGCACGGACTCCGGCGACGTTTCAGGAGAGCGTGGCGCCGCTGTTCGAGATCCACATGGAGCTGAGCGAGGACGGGCTGGTGTTCTCGCCGTCGCTGGAGGTGGGCGATGACAGGGGCTTCCTGGCGCTCATCGAGAGCATCATCAACGACATCTACAACGTGGCCAAGCTCATCCCCCGCCTGGCCAGGGGCCGGGTCAACTACAAGGTCAGTGGGGCCTCTCCCTTCCCCCCTCCCCGCTCCCCGCTCTGGGCCCCGCGTGTTTCCTGGCTCGGAACTGCCTCCAAGCTCAGAACCACGTCACCGTCTACCTGACTAGTTCTGACTGTCTACCTGACTGGTTCTGAGTGCCATCGGGGGCCCCGGGACTGGGTGGGACTTCCCTCTCCCCTCCCCAAACCTCGTCCTTCCTCCTCCATGGGCCTGGCCTGCGTTCCCCGATGCCTGCCCACCCCCTCGGGACGCCCAGCGTGTGCCCTGGCCCCTTCCTGGTGTCTGTCTCCGCCTGTGCCGTAACCCCCGCCCCCCGCGATTCCCTCCGCACCTGGCACTCTCACACTCGTGACTCCCCCGCTCCCCGTCCACGGACTCTAAGCGCCATCAACCCTGCCCAAGAGGAAGGACAGTCAGGTGGGGTTCTGGGCGCCCCACAGGCACTGAAATAGGGCACCCTGATTCCCGGTCAGGGCACATGCCAGGTTGCCGGCTTGATCCGCAGTGTGGGGCATGCAGGAGGCCGCCGATCCCTGATTCT